AAATTACTCTGTTCACTGCGCGCGCGCGCGCGCGCGAAGCATTTTTTACATTTTACAAAAAATGAAAATACTGCTTCACGTTCCGCGCGGTACGAAAACACACTCACGCTGCCGGTTTATTTAACTCGGCTTGATTCACGGTATCATTTCAGTGGTCCGATTGAATTTTATGAACACACCACACAGGTTGGTGGAATTTTCTTTTCTCTATTTTCGCGCAATTATTGCTTTGTGTCTCGCGGTAATAAATTTATCGACGTTCATGAGAAACATTAATTGAAATAGTTGCAGTCGTTGCCAGTTAATTGGAACGGGACGCAACACCGAAGAAGAATTCAAATACGTCGAGAATGTATTTTAAAATTCGTATTAATCGCAAGATTACTAAATGACGATGTTATTCGGTGTTGTAGAATTGAACGTTATGTAGATAAATTATACGAGTCAACTAATTTCGACGGAGTCTATTGATTCAACTATCCTGGCTACATCTACAATCTACTACATATTCTAACTTCAGTAACCTAAACTAACTACATAAGACAAATTAGGTTCGAGTTGGTTGACTCACATAAAATAGACTCAACGTTAACTTTGTCCCAGTTTCGTGATTCCTTAGACGAGGACGAGACGTGTACATTACGATTTTAGACTGTGTATCTCTGTAATTATTGCAATTACTATTTTATCATAGATAGGTGTCTGTTCAACTATAAATTTTATCCAGTTTATTAGTGAGGTTTGTTTAAAAATTCTCTCGCTAATGATACGAATGGAATTCAGGTGATTCTGTTACTCCATTTGCAAACTTCCAACTTGTCAATTGGCCAATAATATTAATTAGTAAGAGACAGATCCAAAAAATAAAAGAAATTAATCGTACAACTACTCTATAATGTATGCAAAACATCTAACATACAAATAATGAAATGAGGTTAAATTATAAAAAAAAAAAATCGAGGCATCCTCTTTTCGATCAAGCTGAATTATTCTAAAATTTCAATGCTCGACTCTAAAATTTCAATGCTTCTCCCGTTTCAAGCGTGAATATCGAGCACGACGCCGACAGAAAAAAAAAAAAAACATGGATCGGGACATCGGCAGGTTCTCGATCATTTAGCATCCCTCGAAACTCGCGACCATCGTTCATTCTCTCGTTGATTATCGGAGAAGCTCGGTTACGGTGCACGCGAACGACGAAAGATGCTGGGAGAAATCGAAGAGGAGAGGATGAGCGATCATTGCGAGGCTACCGCGGGCTATTCTTCCGTGGGGAAGTTTTCCCCAGTCATTTTTCACGCCGGTGTAGTCCGACGGAAGGCCCGAGGTGTCCGGGCTAAATTAAAGAACTACATCATCAGTATCTGGGCTGGAAACGAAAAGCAACTGCTGGAAAATAAAGGAAAATAAAACCGAAGGATGAAGATGTGGTTGTATCCAGTCACGTTCGACGAAATACATAGATGTCGTCGGGTGGTTAATCTTCTTTTATTGGCGAAGCTTAATGGATGGTTCATCGAATGACGAAAATCTCTATGCAGACGAGTCTCTCTGCACAACAATTTTAGCCTCGTTTCGATCTCGCGAAGGTGTACGACGAGAGACAATTTATTGATGCAACTCTCTCGGCAGGTATTATAACTCGAGGAAATATTAATTTTTTTCACGAAATTATTTTAGGCTGAATCCTTGATGAAGCTTTTAACGGAAATGATACTATTCAAAGTATAATCTGTTGGATCGTTATTAAACGAGGATATTATTACTGTCGAAGGCTTTTGATTGAAAATTTCATTAGATAGGTATATATTATTCTATTAATATGCTAGTACATATTATTCTATCAATATGCTAGTAGTACGGGTAAACGTATATACAAACATAGGCCACATTTGTCGTGTGATTACTAAATTGAAGTCTATAACAATTTCTAACTGTCATATCTGTGAATAGATCCTCCGAGATTCAAGGAAAACAATTTGACTTTTTGATTCCAAATCTAAAATTGATCTTACGTGTCTTCTTCTCGCGTCACGAATTGATCTATGCAAGTCAAAGGGAGTCATTAGAAATTTCAGTCCAAGGGAGAAGCAGGATTTCAATTTCGTTCGAGACTGACCCAATTCCCCCAAGAAAGTCACGGTTTTCCAAGAAGAAACGTCTTCGTCGAGCACGAACTTCAGCCGTCAGAAGAGGAGAACGGAAGGAAATTTTCTCGCGTCTCTTGAAAATTTTTAATCCTTACAACTTTCGTCAAAATACTCCGCGGAACCTCATTACCCCTAAATACACGCTGGCCTGTAACATTATCGTTAAAACAATCATTAAACCGAGGTTTCGCAAGGCGTCTCGCCGTATCCCGCCAGCTATATAATTTTTCATCCGCTAAACAATAGTCCCGGGCAAACTACGTTGAGCTAACATTGAAGGCTGCCGCGCACGATTTGCAAGTTTCCCTCGGCTTTGTCCTTTTCTTCCTTTTCTTTTGGTACGCCAGCAGCCACCAGCCGTCCCCACCACCCCCTGCCGCCCGCCGTCTGTCTTTCGAAACGTCTTTCTTTCTCGAGACGAGCGGCTCGGTCCGCTTCGCGCCTCTCTCCCTTGTTCCGTTAAAGAACCTTGCGAAACCTTCGGAAACGTTCCTTTCTTGCCATCCGCGGAGGCCGCACTCTGCAGCGTCTTGCCGCGTTCACCGAGATAAAGGCGCAGAAATTCACCGGCACGCTCAAGTTTGTGAACGTATATATACTATACGCGCACGTGTGTATGTGTATGTGTATATGTTTATGTATACATAGATGAACGTTCAATGCACACATGGAGCACAGTTGCATGGTTGCGTTGCCCACGGCTCGAGTGGATGCGCCCCGTATTCCTCCGAGGAGGGGGAGAAATCAAGCGGGGAAACACTGAGCTCGACAACGAGGGTGGAAGAGGAACGCGGTAGAAGAAATACGCGCTTTAAAACGGCGTCGAGTGTATTACGAGTTTGGCGCGGAAGTTTTTCCTTTTTATGTAACGAGCACAGTTGGTAACGTCGAGCGCATTGTCGCAGCACTTGTACAATGAGTCACTGAGAGACAGCGCTGCAACGCGCCCCGGCAAAAAAAAAAAAAAAAGAAAAAAAAGAGAAGAGAGTCGGCGAGAGGACGCAGCGAGGGGGCGAAGAGTATAGGCGGTGGTTGAAGGAAATGTTGCAGAAGGAATAACGAAAAGATGAGGGAGGAGACTTGTACAACGGGCACGTTTGCAAATATACAGCTCGTGTGAGGATTTGTTCTGACGAAATTTTCTCTCTCTCTCTCTCTCTCTCTCTCTCTCTCTCTCTCTCTTTATCGCCGAGTTTCGGCGAAGTATAGAGATGTACATACATATGTACACGGTATACTTTTAACGGAATGTCTTGGCCGCGACAAGACGAGACAATACCTACCGCTTGCGAAAGCTTGCATCCAAAGTAATACACGAGTCGGGTATAAGCGAAAGTGGCGGGGATTGAATAAAACAACAGCAGCAGAGAGTGGAAGCAACCGGGCTGCATTTTTGTAATGCGTACACGTGGGTAGAGGCCATGTTGCGAGGCGGCGTGACAAGCGACATCTAGGTCAAGCAAATTGTTATTTCTTTTGATTTGCCTGACAATCGCGGGTTTCCTCGGGAACGCTTTGAGTGTTTCTCGTTGCCACGCGTGTTTCTTTCTTTTTTCTCCCTTTTTTTCTTCTCACTTTTTTATTCTGGTCCCTCCTTTTCTTCACCCCCATCTCGTTCGTCCAACATTCCCACAGCAAAGCGAAATCGCTAGCCGAATTGCTTCCGAACAACGGAGCATGTCGTTCCGGCTCGCTTCCGCGTGTTTGGATTGCACGTTGTTTGTTGATCTATTTATGAAACACGTTTGTTTGTCCGTTCTATTGGTGGTCGATTTTAATTCGCTAGCGAGCGATGAACGCATCTTTGCCAATTTATAGTTTTGATTTCACGCTGCAAATTGACAGTTTGCTTTTATAACGTGGGAATCATTTCTGCTTCGTAGTTTTTTTTACTTTTCGACAAAGCGCTTTTGTATCAGGTTCTATATTTCATTTTCATATTGTCAAATTACGTAGTCATATGAAAGTATTATTCAATGATAAATTTAATATACTTCTAGTGATAGAAGTAAATGCTGTGATAAATATAATTGGGATTTTATTTTGGCATTTAAATTTAGAACTAATATAATTTAGAACTAATATAATTAAATTTAGAACTAATACTCGCGTCATTTCAGTTTATAGACTAATTCATTTTACTGTTTTCTTTTTCTTCCTAACATCACGAATCATACAATTAATCAATTCTATGTGATTTTTAGAAAGCTAAATACTATTCACTTGTTTTACCAACGAGATGGTGACATTTTCTGAAAATAGTGTCAATTGGTTAAATCAAACACCAAACTTTATCAATCCTACGTAATCCTATCTAATTTTTGAAGAAACGACAAATAATGTACATTTACTCTATTTACAAAGTTCAGACATTTTTTGAAAACTGCATCGATTACTTTATTCAAACAAGTCAATTCTGCCATGGTCAATAGTAAGCATGAAATCGAAAGTTTGTCATTTCATTTCAAAAAAAGAGAAACTTTCTCACTTATACAGATTACAATATTACAATTACAGATTACAGATTACAATATTAATATTAATATAATCTCACCTTTCTTCGACACCTAGCGCAATATCACGTCGCATCGACTGGATGAATTCTTCGAAGTTAGCTCGCAACGAAATTAGATTACAACGTCGTCGATGAACAACAAGTTCAGTTTTGCCCAAGTTCCATCGCGGAACGTGGGTTTCAAGTTAAATTACCTTTCAGAGAACTGGCTCCTGTTTATGATAGAGCATATATTCCAACAGATGGTCTTTAACCGATATTTGTCCGATACTCCTCGATAGAACTGCGACGAACGCGTCGAGCATACAATACAATTGGTACACTTTGTTCTACAGGTGGCGTGGCTGCGAGTGGACACACAGACGATCCTCACGATCGCTACTCACGTTATTACGAAGAATCATCGGATCGCCGTGACACATAGCGGTCATCGTAGATGGTGTCTTCATATTCGCGACACCAAAGAAACGGACAGGGGATGGTACATGTGCCAAGTCAACACCGACCCGATGTCCAGCAACACTGGATTCCTCGAAGTAGTAGGTAATTAACTATTGGTATAAATTTCTTTGTAAAGCGCACATATTTATATTTATATTTATCGGAATATTTATATTTATATTTATATTTATCCACATTTATATTTATATTTATATTTATCCACATTTATATAATATAAATATTTATATTTATATTTATCGGAATATTTATATTTATATTTATATTTATCCACATTTATATAATATAAATATTTGTATAACTATTTATCATATTTATATAATATAAATATTTATATAACTATTTATAATATTTATATAACATAAATATTTATAATATAATATTTATATTTATCGAAATATTTTCTGCACATTGGATAATTTCGTTTTTTTCGACAAGTATCCTTAGTTGTACTTTTAACCAGTCAACTTCGTTTTAAACTATATTGTCATTATATATTTTGACAATTCACATTTGAAGATTTCTTTTATAAAATAATTTTTTTTATTCTGTGCATAATTTCTTTCTTGGTTGAACAGCAGTCTTACCTTTTTGGTAATAAAAAATATTCACCTTTTTATTTTTCATTCTTGATGTGATACTCCTCCCAAAAAAAAAAAAAAAAAAAAACAACAGCACAGAGTCAAAAAAATTTTCTTTTAAAATGGTCAAAAATACAACCGACGATACACGTCGGAAGAAACAAAATTATTTTCTGAACAACCAATATAATACTTGGATAAGAAAATGAGATTCATTAATTTAAGTTTGCTTCAAGTTTGACTTTATTGACTCTACAGTAACTGAAACGATTTAGTTATAGAACCGAATTAATCATTATCAAGCGATAGCGAAATATAGTTGGAAGTTTCTGCGCGAAATTTTCTAGCAAAATTTAGGAAATGAATGATCAACTTTGTATTCATAAGTATTCAATAAGCAGCAATCTACATCTGCTATAAAACTTATGACAGCTTTTTCACCAACGTATCATAATTTTCCAACAGCGAAAGTTGATCGCGATTTTTGCGAAGAAACTGGATTTCATACGAAGCCTGAAATTGTAAGAAACTTTGAAGGAATTTCGAATCTTTGGTTTCCATCTGTGTTTACATTCATTTTCAAGCGTTCGCGTGAAAATAGCAGCGAACGAAAAAAAGAAAAAAAGTAACGTACCACTGAATTCAGAAAAGTTCATAAATTTTTACGAGTGTCAGTCAGTTGTATTATTTACGTTCTGCACGGTTGTCTGGTTGACAGATATACTGTACGGTCATATATCAATTAATGGTAATTAAAAACTCCGATGGTCCAGATTTAGACTACTATCCATTGTATAAAACACACACAGAGAAAGAGAGAGAAAATATCTATTGCTGTTGTAGGATCGAACTGCTGGCAGATTTTTATTCAAGAATACAAGGCGAAACAATAAAAGTTACACCGCCAAATCCTCTCTGTAATGCAAATCTTTTCACGAATATTCTTTTCAACGTTAACTTCTCTCAACGAATTTGTCATCAATCCCGCGAAGAATTCGGGAGACACGCTCGCAATCGTCCAAGAAATTAAACGGGCTAACGCGTTTCGCCACGTCTGGCAGCGGTCATTTCATAATAAGTACGGAATGCGTGGCTATACTCGATAGTTAGACTTCAGCGAGCAGAAATCCCTCGGATCGGACAGACATGCACAACAAATCGTTTGTTGGCGAATCGTGCGTCCGAGATTGTCGACGGATTTGTATTGCGCGCATGTTTTCGAAACTCTCGCCGCCTTCTCGTGTCACCTCGGCGGCGCGCCTCCTCGGTGGAAACTCGACTAAGCACCGGGGCGGATTCAGCGTTTTCCGTCTACGTAACTTACGCTTGTCCCGCGGAACACGTCCTTTGGCTGGCGCGGGTATCCTTCTTCCGCGGCTATGCATCAACCGATCCTACCAGCCAACTTTCTTGGCACTTGGCACGCCGGCGTTCCTGTTACCGCCAACTTGTCAAAGTTCGCCAACTACCGGTCGCCTTAGAATCCACCATGGTGTTCCATGATTCTCACCGTCGAGTCACCCAGATATTTAATCCCTCGTCGTTTGCCCAGCTTTGTCGCGGTTGGAAAGAAGGTCAGCAGCAGGGGAACAGGTCTAATTGGATTGTAACGTCGAGTAGGATCGCTCGATGCTTTTCTGAAGAATGAGACGCCATTGTTTTCGCTGAAATGGTCTTAAAAATGTTCCCATGGATCAGGGAAAAATTGCCAATGAATATTTGGTCTCGTTTAGAAGTAAAAATTTTGGAGATTATTCGAAAAGAAAATCGGTTCGATTGGTTTAGAATATAGAGTGGGGTTGCTCGATGCTCTTTTTGAGAAATGAGACGCGAGTGTTGTCGTTGAAGTGGTCACGATTAAAACTCTTAAAAATGTTCGTTTTCGTGGATCAAGGAAAAATTGTCAGTAGAATATTTGGTTCCATTTGGAAGTAAAAATTTTGGAGATTATTCGGATGGGAAATAGGTTTGATTGGTTTGGAATATAGAGTAGGGTTGCTCGATGAAGTGTTTCCGTAATTAGTTGAGATGGTCAAATGCATAACCCTGTCTTTTGTTGTATAGTATTTAATTTCGCGTAGAAATCAAAAAATGGAGGAATTATTCTTCGTAAAAAAGAAAGATGACTAGATGGAAGAAAGATTTGATTAATGAATAATCAGTTTATAAGTAGGTTCTCTTGATATGATCTTACTGTCTAATACTGTCACACTGATACAGGTCAGATAAAAATCTGTCGTTCGAATTTATAGAACAGAAAAGACTGAAACAATTTATTCGACATAGATTCAATTCTTTAAATACAAGTAATGTTGTAAACTAAAATTATAGTTTGTCACTGGATCAATTCAAGTATAAAATTTGTAATATTTTGCTCGTAGAGTCATAATTGAATTCCCTCTTTTCAACGATTCCTAAGTAGACGATTTTCCCTGTTATTTTGATTATTGATTGCATAGTGTCTCCGATTTGAATTACCGTGACGAGGATAAAAGGAGTCGATTTTTAATTAGTCTCGAGATTTTATCTAGTACGACGTATTATCAATACTTTTCTGGTCAAAATCGAATGCAAACCGGAATAATTCAAGGAACGTGACGCGAAATTAAATTGGACAGTATAAATTAAAATTACAACTGCCCGGAGAGCTCAAAAATTTTAACAACGTTCCTTCTCGCATACACCGCGTACACGAAAACCAGTTAACACCAGCTACGATCTTAACGAGATTGCAAATGAGCCTCCGGCTATAAATCCTCCCGATTACAAATCCCGCACACCCTTACAAACCCCTTTACCCTTGCCGTCCAGCGTCTCTGACCTATCCTCCCATTACCGGGCGGACTGTTCCTCCGAGACCTTTCAAAGGTGGAAAAGAAACACCGGCGGAGGAAACATCAAAGAGTGACGAAGAGCCGAGTGGAAGCGAGGAAGCGTTTAGCGTGCAACCGCGAGTCCAGCAGGAGTGTAATCAACGTGTGACGTCGAGGATGGAAAGGGCCCGGTATCGCCAAGATAGAGACACCTCTCGGAGTCCAGAGTCACGTTGCTCCTCGGTAGATTGATGCCGGATTTGCCGCGGCGTCCGATGCAAATGTATGTAAAGTGCACACCGCGTATATACCGAAAACCTTCGTGGCCGATTGTACTCTTGGGCGGGCTATTAAACACCTTCCTGGCGACCCGGTGCTCCTCGCCGTAATAACCGGCCGGGCAGTTCGCCACCGCGAGAAGCCCATTTGCCAGTCGCCGAGACAGTGGAACGGAGAACGTGCGCCAGAAGCGTACCAAGGCTTAACCCGTGCTTCCTAACCCCTCGTTAAATTTCTTCTTTATCGTTTTCGACGATCGAGACACCCGCTCCAGGTGTCAGAATAGCTGGAGGTCGTACCGTCAGAGTCGATCGTACTCTTGTTTCTCGCGCCGGTCAACACCGGTTTGGCTCTCTCTGGATCGACGATCGATCGGCAAAAAATTTAGGGTCGCTTCTAAAATTTCGCGAGTAAGGATCATCTCGGTACTCACGGTGGATACTAAATTTTGAAATTACTTTAGTAGAGTAGTACAGGTGCGGACGTGGTCTGTCAAATGTCAAACGTCCTTCACATTGAACCATTCAGAGGTTGATCAAATTGAGAAATTCACCACGATTCATGTTGATCGAGTCGGGAAGTACAAAGAGATCAATAATGTTTAATACTACTATTTGTTCGTATCTATCTTTTACGAATTCACAATGTCTCATGAGAATTGAATAATTAATTTAACGATGAATAATTAATTCGTTAATAAACTAAAATTTCTTCAGAATTGGACACCAAAGAAATTAAATTAATTTTATTCGACGTTACGAGGTTAAAATGATTAAATATTATTCAATCCGTCGTGTTCGCGAGGAAGACAGTTCCTCAAAGGACAGGTTCCACCCATTGACCCGAGCATAATTCGACGATTCGGGACAGATGGACCGAGATGGGCTAGAAACGCTGATGAATCCGTAAACGCGGTAAGATTATATGTCCATGGGAAGGGAAGAGAGGCGTTGTCGGTCGCCTGGAGCAGCTCGCTGGACGCGCGTAAATAAGTTAGCAGACCGTTTCTGCGAGTAATTAAATGCGCTCCGCGGCGACGTCCTCGACACAAACACGCGATTAACTTTCAAATGGAATTCCCGAAATTCCATTAGTCGGTGGACAAACTGAAGGGGCCGGCCCTTCAAGCGTGCCCGCGTGCACTATAATTTCCAGGGTACCGGCGGCGACGCGGAACCCCTGAACGCAAAGCTCTTAAGCTTATCGCGAATAACCCCCTCGTTAAAATCCTTCCTTTATCGCGGACGCGTTACTACCTACTTGACCGCTGCACACTGTGAAATTGCCTGTTCTCACTTTCGTGTTCGAATGGTGGTACGACGTTTAGCCCGAACGAGAATTTCCCGATTAAATTGTGGAATTACAAGGCTGGCATTTCGAGGTGCGCGCGTGTGTGTATGTACGTGTCCGT